TCTATCTGAACCTACTAGCGAAACATGAAATGTTGCCACATACGATCACAAAGCGTGCAAACCTGCATTATTATTTTTAATATTTCATTTTTCTAAACAACAATTCAAATCAAATGAAAAGAATTTAAACGAAGTCCCAAAACTAAATGGGTGTTTCAAAAGTAGTTCCATTGGAATGCAATGATCAAATAGTATATACCCACAAGTTTTGAAATTGATCAAATAAAAACATTTTTTTGCCGAAACTCCACATGTATTGTTGGACATGTCACACCTAATATATCACATAATATCTACATAGCCTTTATGAAAATTTAAAAGTAGTCCAATAATCATCGTCAAAAGTAGTCTCATGGAATGTAGTTAATCAATAATAGTTCTATAAATTTTTAAAAAGAGAAATGATATCACAAATAGAAAGTAGCTAAATCAAAAATAAGACATTAACAAATTGGATAGGAGAAGTTCATTTGGCATAGTTATAGAACAAATCATCACAGGACAAAATTGCAACATTACAAAAAGTAACAAATAGCCGAGAATCGAATGTATATGAATGCCAACCGAAGCACTCATTCGACACATTCCTCAAATCTAACCTAATCGTAGTAACTTGTAACACGTATAGGAAGAACTATTACAAAACGGCAACACATCGATCAACTTGTTGAACACTCGACTGCTTATAACCATGGTAGCCACCCATCCTCCGGTGAGAATACTCAGTTTGCGAGTTGTGCCTGTGAGACATCATTCCCCCACTCCTTTCATAACCATACCTGCTCGTATTATTATTATTATTGTTAACAACATTATAGTTACTATTCCCCTGTCGGGCAGATGATACATTTTTCTTAGTGAACTCAGCCTTGAGAGCACTTGCGTTGTGAGGTTTGCTATTCTCTGCAGTGGTGTCAGTCCTGATAGGTTCAGGATTTGAATTGCTGGGTAAGGTCTGGACCTCAATAACTGACCCGGAAGCATGTGAGTCGGATGTTAGTGGTTGAGAAGGAAACGAGCCCCCGGTTGAGTCTGACGAGACGTTGAAATTCGGGCTTTTGCTATCAGACTTTGTGCTTGTTGGGGTACGTGACTCGATCAATCTGTTGGCTGCTTGTGATTGATCCATGTTTTTTCCAGGATTGTTGAACCGAGGCGGCAAGGAGCCTTCTGTTTGGGATTGTCGTGGACCGGTGGTCGAGCAACTGGGAGCCTGAAGTGGAGATACATCAAACATGGGCATGGGTGCAGGTATAGGCAATAGTGGTGACCCCGGGGCAAGATGCTGAATAGGCATCGTCATATTGGGCCCAACTCTCTGCACATTACTCACATTCACATTACTAATGTCACCCTCAGATGGGTGCAAATTATTTTTGAAATTTAATTGCTTTCCTGAAGGTATATATGTTGTACCCATAAAACTCAAGCCCACCTGACCATACTGTCCAACGGGAGCAAAATAATTACATACAACCATATGCGGAGTCGGGCCCTGAATGCCTCCATGTGGGCTGATGAATGGGCCTGGGTATCCAGCTGGCGGCCCATAAAATGAGTCCACGCCAGAACGCCCAGTTGCCAAGGGAAGGCCCCGAGCCAGAGCCACACTCTATAAATCCAATCAACTCAACTCTCCTATTTTTATTTTTTTTTTTAAATATAATCAAATAATATCAATCAATCATCGTCGCACATCAAATTAATTTTAATTCACTGTTCATACACTCACATAATTTTAACTACTTGTCACTTTCAATATTCGCTCTCCTTCTTTTATATCACGTCAACTTTAATCATTTACTTTTTAATACTATTTAATTACAAACTCAAATCACCAGTTCAATCAAATTTATTCAAAATAACCACTTTTAACCAACTAAATTGAATTATAATTAACCTGGGTTAAATTCATATTCAGTCACGTCCTAAAAGAGTGACTGAAAA